AGGAGAATCAGTTTTTAAAATCTGTCTCCTAGCAGAAAATTGGGATTTCCAGAGGCTGGAAGAAAATGTAAATCACTCCCATATTATTAAACCATTTTTATTGTGAAATGTAATAGACACAAATAAATGGATAACACATAACCTTATGGATTAACAAATGACTATTAAAAACACCCATCTATGTAACACATAACCTTATGGATTAACAAATGACAATTAAAAACACCCATCTATGTAACCCCCATCCAGATCAAGAAAGAGATCATGACCAGGACCTCTGAAGCCCCCTCACACCTCCTCCCAATCCCAATCCACTCCCTGCTCACAAAACAATATTAAGAAAAATTAATAAGACCTAAATAAATGTAAAGATATACCATGTTTCTGGATTGGAAGATTTGATATTGTAAAGATGTTCATCCTCACCAAGTTGATCTATAAATTCAAAATGTTAAATTGGTGGCTACTAGTTATGGAGGATATGGACTGAAGCTACACATACACATAGCCCAACAGTTCCGCTCCTTGGCATATGCCCAAGAGAAACAAGCGCACATGTGTATCAAACAGCATCCACAAGAAAGTTCATGTCAGCAGAATGTGTGATAGTCTAAAATAAGAGGCCACACAAATGTCCCTCAACAGTAGAATGGATAAATGGTGGTGTACTTATACAGTGAAATACTACAGACAAGTGAGGAAGAATGAACTACTGCTACACACGACAACACAGAGGAATCTCACAAGGACATATAAAGTTGAGATACACAAACCTAACATGCTATATGATTCCATTTACATAAAATCAGGACCTTTGTAGTTTCTACCCTCAGGTATAATGTTTGCTATCGTTTTTTTCTTTTTTCAGATTGAGGAAGTTTCCTTCCATTTCCTATTTTGCTAAGAGTGTTTCTTCTGCATGGAAATTAAATTTTGTGAAGTACTTTTTTCTTCATTTATTCACATAATCATCATGATGCTTTTCAGCTTTATTTTGTTAATGTGACAAATTGCATCAATTTGGGTAATGCCATTAAGTGCATACAAATTTAGAACCTTTACATCTTTCTGGTGAATTAAACCTTTTGGTGCTATGAGCTGACCCCCTTTCTCTCTAGAAGAGCTTTTTTTCATAAAAACTATTTCGTCTCCTTTTTTTTTTAATTTATTTGTTTTTATTTTTGGCTGTGTTGGGTCTTCGTTGCTGTGTGTGGGCTTTCTCTAGTTGTGGTGAGCGGGGACTACTCTTCATTGCGGTGCACGGGCTTCTCATTGTGGTGGCTTCTCTTGCTGCGGAGCACGGGCTCCAGGTGCGCAGGCTTCAGTAGTTGTGGCACGCGGGCTCTAGAGCACAGGCTCAGTATTTATAGCACGCGGGCTTAGTTGCTCTGCAGTATGCGGGATCCTCCAGGACCAGGGATTGAACTCGTGTCCCCTGCATTGGCAGGCAGATTCTTAACCACTGCACCACCAGGGAAGCCCTTTATCTACTATTAATGTCACAAAAAGTGACCCTGTGTTTATTAGGTGCTGCTTATTCTCTCATCCATTCTTTGTTAAAAAAAATTACCTAAGAGCATCATGGTTAGATCATGGGTGCATCCAATTAACCTCTCTTTTACATGTACAGATAAAGCCTCAGTTTCCTCATCTGTAAATTTCTTTCATCAGTTTTGAAAGATTTCTCAGCCATTATCACTTCAAATATGACTGCTGCCTGGACTCTCCCTTCTTTCCTTCGGGGACTCCAATTAAACATTTTGGACTTTCTCACTGTATCTTTTAGCCTTTATCTTCTCCTCCGTATTTTCCATCCCTTAGTCTCTCTTTACTTTGTTCTGGATTTTCTCCTGATCTTTCTTCCAGTACTAATTCTCTCTCCAGCTGCATCTAAACTGCAATGAAACCTATACATTGGGTTCATATTATTGAGCAGTGTTTGTCAATTCTAGAAGTTCTGACTTTTTTTAAAACTAAGTAACGTTACTTTTTATAATTTCTAGCTCTTTGCTTTAAGGTTTAAGAGTGGCTTTTAACGTCATGAGCATGGTAAGCATCAATCCTTTAAAGTCCTTGTCTTCTAATTACACTCTCTGGACTACCCGTGGGTTTGTTTTTCATGTCTGTTGTTTGTGTAGGTCTTTGGTCATATTCTTATCTCCTTGTGTACCTGTTTATTTTTTCCTCATATGCCTTGTCTCAGATTTGTACATATATTGGTAAAAATATTTTCAAGCATGCAGTGATGCTCTCCTCCCGCAGAGAGGATTTTCCTTTGCTTCTGCCCAATGACTGGGCCTCTGATGATCCAGAGTCATGTTAATTCAAGGTCTGGACTTGAAATATGCTGGGTCACCCACATGACCAGACTCCAGGTTGCCATCTGTTTAAACCAGTCAGATCTGGTTTCCTTCCATTTCAGTCATGCATCTCTGGTGCTGCTTTTTGGGTTCCAGCCCTAGGTGTGGAATGGCTTACGAGGCCCCAACCCATATGAGCTGTGAACTCCACCTTCTGTCCCTTCGACTGCTTGAGGCTGTCCGAGGTCCATCAGCTGTGCAGCCATCTCCCCTGGATTGACCTACACCCCTTATGTAAACACAGCCCAGGGGCTGGGCGCACTTCTCTGACTGCATCTTCTCCCGACCTTGGGCACCACACTCTTCACTACCTTGTTAGCTCTTTCGGACTTTTATGATGATTTAATAAACATTTTGTCCAGCTTTTTTAAAAAATTCATCTTCTGCAGGGAGAAATTGGTTCAAATTACCTGGTTGGCCACTCTCAGAAGTAGGATCTCTAAATCTTTTAAAAAGGTGTGGGTCCCTTGTGCCTCTGTCACGGTCACTTTATTACAAACAAAGTTCAGCTTGGCCATGAACTTTTTAAAACATGGCATTCATTGGGTTTCGTTAACACTGATTTGAGTTAAATTTAACTTATATTCATTGAGCACACCAAGTATGACTTCAGCACACCAGAGGAGGTGCTGAGAATTTTGTTTTCCAAAAATAACCAATTATCCTTGTAGCATACAGGTTAAGAGCATGAGTCCAATAGTCCAACAGCCAGGACCCACCCTCTACAAATGTCCAGTTACTTATCTTCTCCGGGTCTTAGTTTCCTCATCTGTAAAGTAATGGTAATTATAATAACATCTTCATTGGACTGTTAGAAGGATGAATGGGATTATACAAGAAAAGTGTTTATGACACTCTCTGGCACATGGTAAGAATTCATAATTATTAACAATTATTATTACCTGATATTTGCCGGGTGCTTTTCTAGGCCCTATAGATGCTAAAGTAATAAGACTTTATTCGTAAAAAACCCTGTGGTCGGCATATATATGGAATCTAAAAGAAAAAAAAAGTTTCTGAAGAACGTAGGGGCAGGACAGGAATAAAGATGCAGACGTAGAGAATGGACTTGAGGACACAGGGAGGGGGAAGGGTAAGCTGGGATGAAGTGAGAGAGTGGCATGGACTTATATATACTACCTAATGTAAAAAAGATAGCTAGTGGGAAGCAGCCGCATAGCACAGGGAGATCAGCTCCGTGCTTTGTGACCACCTAGAGGGGTGGGATGGGGGGGGTGGGAGGGAGGGAGACGCAAGAGGGAGGAGATATGGGGATATAGGTATATGTATAACTGATTCACTTTGTTATAAAGCAGAAACTAACACACCATTGTAAAGCAATTATACTCCAATAAAGATGTTAAAAAAAAACAAAAAAAAAAACAACCCTGTGGTTGGGAGGCCTTCCCAGAAGAGGAGACCTCAAATTGAGTTTGGAACATGTGAGGGGAGTTCCTAGATGAAGAAGGGGAAATGGGCATTCTGCATCATGTTGGTGTGTGATGCATTCAGAAACTGCAGTCAGGTGCTTAGTCTAGGAGGGTGTGAGACGTGGGTGCAGATCTGAGTATGATGCAGCCTCTGCTTTTAGGCAGTTGTGGTCCAGGAGGGATGACAGATAAAGTATAGTTTTGATGCCCTGGTGGGGCTAACCAAAGAGCTGCAGGAGCCCAGGGTGAGAAATGTCCATGTTAGTCTGAGTGGCCCAGGCAAGGCTTCACAGCAAAGGGATTATTTTGCAGGGGTTTTGCAGGGTGAAGAGGAGTCCATTTCAGATGTGAAAGTGCCTGGAGGTGGGGAGAAGGGGAGAGGCTTTCAAAAGCATCCATATAATGAAACATGCAACGAGATGCCATTTATGTGAAGTAACACACACACCAAAAGCCACATTTATGGGCATCATATATAGTGAAAGTATAGAAATCTAAATTGGAGACAGAGATGCTGAATTCATGGGGATGGCTATCTCTGAAGACACTGGGAGGGAGGGGAAAAGAATTGCAGAGCGAACTTAAAGGATTCCAACTTAACCTGTAAGGTTTAGTGTTTTTAGTCTGAAACAAAAAGGAAAACTGAGCGGTGGGTTCAGAGATGTTTAATGTATTATTATCTACGGGTTTTTGTTTTTCACAATTAAAAAGAGTTTTAGAAAGAGAATGGAGTGGGGGAGGTGGGATGAAGGTAACAGAATGGTGAGAAATGAGGCAGCCCCTGAAGCTCTGCTAGGCAGGTCTGATTGCGATGGGAAGAGAGGTCTTCCAGGTTATTGGAGCTGGAATTGAAGGATCTATGCTTGTGCAAATAACTCACCTAAGTGTGGAGGGCGGAGGGAGGCAGGGAGACCAGTGAGGGGTCGTGAAAATAATCTGGATGGAGGTTTAGATGAAACGCCAGTGGTTAAGGGCTCATTGGGTCAAAAGCGCAGGTCTGGCACTTGACAGGGTGAGGGTGAGAGGGCTGGAAGGCAGTGGGCGTTTCCCAAGACTGAGTGTGTTTGTGTGCATGTGTGTGCGTGCACGCGCCTGTGTGTGATTTGAGAGCTCCCTTCGCTGGATTTCCTCTGTGTCCTGCGTGAAACACTCGGCCCTGCCCTGGGTGAGAGCCTGACACGTAGCTCCGTCGTGTGGCTCTCGGCTTCAGGAGCTGTATCGCAGCACCATGGAAACGTTCCAGAAGTTTGTGGACGTCCTGTTCCTCCAGACGCTCCCCTGTGTGACTGACCTCTCCCAGGCAGAGTGTGAATACCTGAGGCAGCAGGCCCAGGAGAACGCGGCCCAGCAGCTGGAGAAGTTGGATCGCTTCCGGAGTCAGCAGTGGAAACTCTTCCAAGATCTCCTGGAGCAAGAAAAGCAGGTGCAGCATTTTGTAAAACTGGGTCTGGAGTCTGCCTTTTTTTTTAAACTTCTGAAGAATAACGAGGGATTTCCATCTCTGAGCATCCCCTAGTGCCTATGCTAGATGCTTTACCAAGATTCTGGTTGCCAACCTTTCACAATGGGGAGAGGGGGAGAAGACGGCAAGAGCCCTCCTCTCCCAGGATAGGAGGTCAGTAGATGATGCCTTCGGTTAATCCAACAAGAAGGGCAGCAAAGCCTTCTTTAGCATAATAGAAATAAACGACAGAGAGCGGTTCTTCAAGGGAGTGGACTGCTTGGGGGGAGGAGCTGCACACACGGGACTCCTGTTTCTCAATGAAAGTCTATTTCATTATTAAAGCCATGTATATATGTGGTAGACAGAATAATGTCCCCACATCCTCATCCCCAGGACCTGTGAATATGTTACCTAACAGGACAAGGGGACCTGATGGCGCGCAATCAAATTAAGGATCTGGGGATGTAAAGATTATTCTGGATTATATGAGTGGCCCAGTGTGATCACAAGGGTCCTTTTAAAAGGGAAGGAGGAGGCTCAGGGTCGGAGGAGATGTGAGGACCTAAGCAGAGGCTAGAGTGATGTGCGCATCAGCCAAGGAATGCGAGAGGCCTCGAGAAGCTGGAAGAGGTGAGGAACAGACTCCCCCCAGAGTCTCCAGAAGGAACACAGCCCTGTTCCTTTCATTTCAGACTTCCGACCTCCAGAAATGTAAGATACTAAATCTGTGTCATTTGAGGCCACAGCGTTTGTGGCCATGTGTTACAATAGCTATGTAAACTAATATACCTCAATTTTATTTTTAAAGAATTAAGTTTTTTGTTTTTGTTTTTGTTTTTTTTGCGGTACGCGGGCCTCTCACTGTTGTGGCCTCTCCCGTTGCGGAGCACAGGCTCCGGACGCGCAGGCTCAGCGGCCATGGCTTACGGGCCCAGCCGCTCCACGGCATGTGGGATCCTCCCGGACTGGGGCACGAACCTGTGTCCCCTGCATCGGCAGGCGGACTCTCAACCACTGCGCCACCAGGGAAGCCCTCAAATTTCTAAATGAAAACACCCACACTTCCTTTCTCTCTTGCTTTCCTGCATGCTAGAGGCTATAAAACTAACATGCTCAATATCCCAGCATCTAGAAGTGGCCGCGTGCAGTTCTAGCCTATGAGAGAAGGTATGGTACCTGCACAAGGCTTCTGTTCCCTAATACAGAGGCCAAGTGTTGCTAGGAGACATCCTCCTCTTCAGTGTTCCCTGTTCTTTGTGCCCAGAGCAGGTACAGGAGGACTGGAGGTATGCTGGCCTTCCTTTGACTTAGAGGCAGGATTCAGGAGGGTGGGGCAGAAAGGCGGACTGTCCCAGCCCTGGACTGCCTACCCCAAGGTGCTTGTTATGAGAAACACCCTGTCTTTTTACATTGAGTGTTCAGTTAGTTACAAAAGAGCGCTCAACTGATGCAACCAATAGAGGCTTTCTAAAGCAACTAACGGGAGCTGTCCAAAATACCAATAAATAAAGGGAAGCATCACGGGGCCATTTCCAGCCAGGGACGAGCATAGGGCCTAGTTTCCTGCCTGTCCAATTTATTAGACCTCCTTCTAATTAATTTCAATCTGCCGTCAGCTGCATTGTGTTGTCCTGTCACTGGTACCTTGCAGTCTCCTCGATATGGCTGTAGGCTCCTGGAGGACAGCAACCCTGCTTTTCATATTTCACTTCCTTAATCAAAGCCCAGTAGCTGGGATATAGCAAATGCTCAGGAAAACTTGGCTGCATTTCCAGCAACAATAATGCAGCTTTGGAAATTATCACAGGGTCACCAAGAGTAAATGAAGCTGAATTCCTCTGATTCTTACCAATCCTGGGCCCCAGACCATATAATTTACCATCCCCAGGGAAAGAGGGGAGAAACCTGGGCCTCAGCAGTTTGGAAAGATCGCCAGATAAGTCTGATGTGCCTCTGATGTCGGCTCCCAAATGGGGATCAGGCCTTTTAGAGACAGTTGTGGTCTGAAGACAGGCTTCTAATGTTGGAAGCTGAATGCCTGGGTTTGAACCAGAGCAACCCCGTTAATGGGCTGGGTGACTCTTGCCGGTCACCTGGCAGATTTCCCACAACTCTGCTTTTGCACAGCTTGCTAAATTTCTCTGAACCTCAGCTTTCATGTGAAAAATAGGGATCAAAATACCCAACAGGGTTGCTGGGAGATAATGCAGGTTAAGACCCTTCACGCAGTATCTGTTCAATTGCTTAATGACTGACATTGAAAAAATCTAGAACTTCATTTCTGATAAATTATTCGGCAAACAGCCATGATTCATCTAAAATCCTCTAGTTATGAGTCTCAAGTTACTTTACGCAGATGTCAGACAATGCATAGCTTCTGGTTTTTATTTTTTATTTATTTACTTTGTGAGCATATACATGCGTGTGAATATTCCTTTGCTTGTGCAGAAGTATTTCAAGAGGAGTTCTGCATGCAAGAAGCAAGCAGAAGTTAATGACCTCATCAACTGATTAAATAAGTATGACCCAAGTCTGTTTTCTCAAAGTTTGGATGTCAAAATTAATTTACTAATTGATTGTTTAATTGCCTTAAATTACCACAAGATATTTAGAGATCCATATTCTCTCCCACTTTCCATATTTCCTTGTTGATGATAAAAATGAGATGAACTTTCTGTGGTCAAGATGAATATTTAGTCATGAGATGAAAAGGCCAACAAAACTGTTCATGGAAAATCTAACACATACCCAGACTATGAAATGCATTTTCCACTTATTTTCTATCCAAAAGGCGTTGGTGATTTCATATCCTGTTACTCAGAGAAGTTGTTAAATGTTGTGGAGTTTGTCAGTCACACAATTGGAACAGGTTGTAGAATGGTGGTTCTCAAAATGTGATCCGTTCTAATGCAGGTTTGTGGGCTTCTCCCCAGTCTGCTGAGAGCAAGCCCTCTGGTCTCCCTGAATCCAAGGCCCCTTGTGGTCTATTCTCAACCTCCAACCAGAGTGATACTTTCACTTAAAACTTTTTTTTCTCTTCCATTTTATTAAAAAAATTCTTTTCTCTTCCATTTTTACCAAGATGTAATTGACATTACAGCACCGTGTAAGTTTAAGGTGTACAGCATAATGATTTGACTTCCATACATCATGAAATGATGACCACAGTAGGTTTAGTGAACACCCATCATCTCCTATAGATAAAAATTCAAAGAAATAGAAAAAAATATTTTTTCCTTGTGGTGTGAGGATTTACTCTCTTAGCAATTTTCATACAGAACATAGAGCAGTGTTCATTATACTTGCCATGTTGTACATTACATCCCTGGTACTTATTTATCTTACAAGTGGAAGTTTATACCTTTTGACTATTTTTATCCAATTCCTCCTCCTCCTCCTCCAGTAACCACAAACCTGATCTCTTTTTCTATGGGTTTGTTTGTTTCTTGTTCGTTTTTGAAGTATAAATGACCTCAACACTACGTTCGTTCCTGTTACACAACACAGTGATTCAGTATGTCTATATATTTCAAAATTATCACCATGATATGTCTAGTTATGACATGTCACCATACAAAGATATTAAATAGTTATTGACTGTATTACCCACATTTCATACCCCTGACTCATTTACTCTGTAGCTGAAGTTTGTGTCTCTTAACCTCCCTCACCTATTTCTCTCCTCCCCCCCCCCCCCCCTCCCCTCTGGCAAGCACCTGTTTGTTCTCTGTGTCTGTGACTCTCTCTTTTGTTATGTTTGTTCATTTGTTTTGTTTTTAAAAATCCACATAAAAGTGAAATCATACAGTATTTGTGTTTCTCTGTCTGACTTACTTCACTTAGCATAATAGCCTCTAGGTCTGTCCATATTGTCACAAATGGCAAGATTTCATTCTTTTTTATGGCTGGGTAGTATTCCATTGTATATACCACATCTTCTTTATCCATTCACCTATCAACGGGCACGAGTTTGCTCCCATATCTTGACTATTGTAAATAATGCTGCAATGAACATAGAGGTGTGGATATCTTTTCTAATTAATGTTTTAATTTTCTTCGAATAAACACCCAGGAGTGGGATTGCTGCCTTATATGGTAGTTCTGTTTTTAATATTTTGAGGAATTTCCATACTGTCTTCCATATTGGCTGCACCAACTTACATTCCCACAAACAGTATATAAGGGTTCCCTTTTCTTCACATCCTCGTCAAAACTTATTTGTTGTCTTTTTGGTAATAGCATTCTGACAGACATAAGATGATACCTTATTGTGGTTCTGATTTGCATGTCCCTGACGACTGGTGATGTTGAGCATCTTTTCATGTGCCTGTTGGCCATCTGTACGTCTTCTTTGGGAAAACGTCTATTCAGATCCTCTGCCCAATTTTTAATGGGGTTGTTTGTGTTTTTGATGTTGAGTTGTATGAGTTCTTTGTATATTTTGGATATGAACCCCTTATAGGATATATCATTTGCAAATATCTTCTCCCGTTCAATAGGCAGCCTTTCCGTTTTGTTGATAGTTTCCTTCACTGTGCAAAATCTTTTCAGCTTGATTTAGTCCTGTTTGTTTATTTTTGCTTTTGTTTCCCTTGCCTGAGGAGACATATCCAAAAAAATCTTACTAAGACCACTGGAAGGTGAGTCTGGTCTTGGGGCTAGTGCTGGCCCACCGGTGAACGGAGCCAGGTCCCGGGACCTCTGGCTGCAGGGTCCTGGGGGTCCTAGAGTTGATGTTGGACCACTGGTGGGCAGGGTAGGGTCCTGGGCCAGCTGGAGGCTCTCAGGGGTCCTAAGGCTGTTGGCCTACTGGTGGGTAGGGCTGTGTCCCTGCCTGGTTAGCTGCTTGGCTTGAGGTGTCCCAGTACTGGTGCCGACAGGCTGGTGGGTAGGCTGGATCCCTGCGCTAATGAACCAGAGGGAGGCTTCCGAAAGGGCGCTTACCAGCACCAGTATCCTTGTGGTAGAATGAGCTCCCC